CTCATTCTTCTTCTTGTAATTTTTCCTATTCATTGTATTTTCTTGACCATTGTATTTAGGTCATTAGATTAGGTTTATACGAAGTATACATTAATAGGTGCATTAGGGTTCATTTTTATGTCATTTAGAAGTAATTTGATTTGAATTTGAGTCACATGGATTGCATGGAGAGGCTCCGGCCATGTGAGCTCTAAATTCACATCAAATGACTACCAAATGACATTAGGATGAAGGTACCATCCGGATTAGTCACTTGGTTAGCCAAAGTTTGAATTTCAAATTCAAATTTGAAATTCAAACTTGGCACCAACTAAGCTACACGGATTGGCGCCACTTGACCTAATTTTCCCACCTATAAATGTGATGGAAGAGCATGGGCTACAGGCCCAACCACTAGAGCTATGGCCAGGAGACTACTTGAAGATTTGACTGCTTCAGAGCTTAGTGGGCTCAATGGGCTTGGTGGGCTTAGGGTGCTTCTCATTTGGGCCTTCATTGATTAAACACCATGTTCTATTATATTTTCTTAGTATAGGAATTTACTTTGATGTTGGTCTTGTATTTTGACCATAGATTAGGATTTAGGTGTCTTGGGCTTAATTTTGGGCTTCTTGAGCTTTAGGCTTTTGATACCCAATATTAGGCTCATTCTTCTTCTTGTAATTTTTCCTATTCATTGTATATTTTTGACCAATGTATTTCGGTCATTAGATTAGGGTTTAAGGAGGATTAGTAGTTTATTTGAATTAGGGTAAATTAGGTTAAATTTAGGATGTATTTAAGTTGCATTTAGGTCACACTTTTGGCACCACCTTGGCTGCACAAGTGTGATACCGAAATGCAACCCTAAATGCATACTAAATTCAATCTAATTGCATTAACACTCATGTGACTGGATTGGCTTTTGATACCCAATATTAGGCTCATTCTTCTTCTTGTAATTTTTCCTATTCATTGTATATTTTTGACCAATGTATTTCGGTCATTAGATTAGGGTTTAAGGAGGATTAGTAGTTTATTTGAATTAGGGTAAATTAGGTTAAATTTAGGATGTATTTAAGTTGCATTTAGGTCACACTTTTGGCACCACCTTGGCTGCACAAGTGTGATACCGAAATGCAACCCTAAATGCATACTAAATTCAATCTAATTGCATTAACACTCATGTGACTGGATTAAGACATGTTAACCAAGCTGTGAAATTCAAATTTTAAAATTTTTGAATTTCAAAACTTGGCGCCACATGTGTGCC